CAGGGAGGGGACCCCATGAGAGATGGGAGTGGCCAGCGGGGGGCCTTTCCAGCGATGGGAGATGCGGTCGAGGAGGACGCGAGCCTAGCTCTTCAGGAGTGTGTGTGTCCGTGTGTGTGTGTTTGCAAAGCCAAACACGACACCGGGCACTTGTGATCTGAGATGACGGCGGTCGGGGACTCTTATAATAATACAGAGACATGCGAGCGAGCTCTGAATACCCCACAGACAGCTGCGGACCCACAGCCAAGAAGCAGATCGAGGGGCCCGAACAGTGTTTATTTATTTATTTATTTATTTTTTAATATTTATTTATTTTTGAGAGAGACAGAGACAGAATGCAGGTGGGTTAGGGGCAGAGAGAGGGAGACACAGAATCGGAAGCAGCCTCCAGGCTCTCTGAGCTGTCAGCACAGAACCCGACGTGGGGCTTGAACCCACAAGCCGTGAGATCATGCCCTGAACCAAAGTCGGACGTTCAACCGACTGAGCCACCCAGGCACCCCCCTGAACAGTGTTTAAAAACACTTTTTAAAATGTTTTATTCATTTTTAAGACAGAGAGAGACAGAGTGTGAGCAGGGGAGGGGCAGAGGGAGAGGGAGACACAGAATCTGAAACAGGCTCCAGGCTCTGAGCTGTCAGCCCAGAGCCCGACGCGGGGCTCGAACTCACGAACTGTGAGATCATGGCCTGAGCCGAAGTCAGATGCTCAACCGGCTGAGCCACCCAGGTGCCCCCTGAAGAGCGTTTCTTTACCAGCGCCCCTGCCAGGAGGGGGAGGCTTCCCTGATTTACTCAGGGCACGTATTTGCCCGAGACCCAGATCGGGGAGACAGACCTAGCACGTTTTTAGGGGACAGGGTGACCCCATTTGTAAATTTGTTTTGTGGGGGAAGGCTGAGAGGCAACGATGGGGGGGATGGGCAAGGAGAAGGGCAAACTCCAAAGGTTGTTATTCAGGGTGAAGGTGACTGTCTCTGCATCAATTTGATCTTGCTTTCCTTTAGACGCTTGCCCTAGCATTCCATCCTTCCAGAGAGCTACCCTTTGAAGTTTTCCTGTTACCAATATTTTCTGAGCACTGGCTGAACCGTCACCATTCCTGCCACTGGGGATAGAGGAGGGACCAGTGGCAGACAAAGACCCTGCCCTTCTGGGGCTTCTATTCGATCGAAGGGAGACAGACATCCGGCAAGGCAAGGAGGTGAATTGTGATGTCTGTTAAAGGAGGAGGGTCCCGTAGAGCAGGGAATGGGAGAGAGTGTGCCAGTTGGAAAATTTACACTTACAGACGGGGTGGGCAGGGAAGCTTTCACTGGGAAGGAGGCATTCCGGTGAGGGAGCTAGCTGGGAGACAGGAGGCTACCGGGGGGGACAGGGGGCGGGGGAAACACTGGGCAGAGAGAAAAGCAGGTGCAAAGGCCCTGAGGTAGGTAAATGCCGACTGTATCCAGGATCTGTGGGCAAGGAGGCTGGTGTGGCCAGAGTGGAGGGAGAGAGGTGAGGAAATGAGGTGGGAGGGGTCAGGGGTTTAGGGGAGGTGATACAGGGTCTCAGCTGGAGACCTGAGGGCACTGAGTAGATGGGGGACACGATTCTTCTTTTTAAAAATGGACTCCTTTGCTCTCTCTGTGTCGAGAAGGAGCCAAGAGACACAGCAGGGAAATCAGTTAGGATTCCCGTGTGACAATCCAAGTGAGCCACGAGCATGGCAAGAAACGGTTGTTTTCAGATGTGTTCTGAAGGTGGGGCCACTGGATTCATTGATTGCGGGGTGCGGGAGCAAAACACAAAGGTGACTGTAATTTTCAGCCTAAGCACGGAGTCACTGTCATCAGAGGAGAGGGGAGACCCACGGGGTAGAAGCAGGTTGGAGTGGTGGGGGAGGGCAGCGGATGAGAAGAGGGGACCCCTGGGGAGCTCAGTTTGGGACACGTTGACCTGCGATGCCACGGGACGTCCACGTGGAGACGGGAGCAGGCCGCTGGCCCCGAGCGCGGAGTTGGGAAGAGGTCTGGCCTGGACGCGGAGTCACGTGAGTCGTTCGCTTCAGCGCAGGCGCATCATTAGAGCCTCGAAACCACATAGGATCTCTGAGGGAACAGCCCCTCAGATGGTATCTAGACAGCTGCTCGCAGCTTCGCCAGCTCAGGGCTCACATGTCACAGGAGAAAAAGTGAGGTCCAGAGAGGGGAGGTTTCTGGTCCAAGGTGGCACAGCCAGCTGATGGCAAAATTAGGAATAAGACTTTGATTCCCCGGTTGCCAAGGTGGGCGTCCTTTCCTGCATCCAGCTTCTGAGTGCCTTTTTTTTTTTTCCTTTAAATGTTTATTTCCTTATTTTCGAAAGAGAGAGCAGGGGAGGGGCAGAGAGAGCGGGAGAGAGAGAATCCCAAGCAGGCTCCACACTGTCAGCATGGAGCCCGAGGTGGGGCTCGATGCCACGAACCGCAAGATCGTGACCTGAGCTGAAATCAAGAGTAGGACGCTTAACCGACTGAGCCACCCAGGCGCCCCTCTTAGTGCCTTTTTGTGATGAGTAAGGCTCCCGGGGCTCTAACCCTTTGTCATCTGACCATGAGGTCGCCAGAGAGCGGGGATGGCCTCCCCCCGCCACGTGGCCGTCCTGCTCCTTGCTCCCCAGTCCCATCTATGCCGCCTCCTCCAGGAAGCCATTCTCTCAGGCCTGCGTCACCTGGACCTTCATTTGTCTTCTGCCCATGTCACCAGACTCCGGGCTCTGGGTCTTTGCCACTTTGTGTCCCATCGCCCAGGGGTCAGCAGCTGGCGGTGACAGCGAGCCTCTCCTTGCCCAGATCCTGCTCAGCTCCCTCTGAATCCTTCCCCGTGAGGTGCTGACCTCTGGGTTTCCACGTTCCAGCGTCTCTGCACTGTCCCTGCGTCCTCTGCAAGAACCCCGCTGAACCGGCTCAGCCAGGAGCCCTCATTCGCCACGTCTGATCACCCCCCATGTCCGCTGGGCTTCCTCACGCCCCGCCACCGCCCTGGGGACGTCTGGTCACCCTGGCCTGCCTTCAGTGGGACTCCCAACCAGGTGGGTGTGTGATAGGGCAATTTAGAATAAGAAATGCATTTGGTCTTCCTCCTGTTCTGGCCCAGAGACCCTGAAACCCTCGCAATTTCCTATAGAAGAGCCATCGGCAGGGGCATCTTCTGTTGTGATATTTACTTCTGTCCTCAGTTCCTGAAATGGCTTGGTCATCTGTTACCTGTGACAGGTGCCTTTCAGCCACCCCTGAGTTTATGTTACTGAGGTCAGTTTTGGAAAGGCCCTGAGATGGGGGCTGGGTGCTGGGAGAAACTAACAAGCTTGGAAGCTTCCGACGTTCAGCCCTGCCCGCAGGACCTCGGGGTGGGGAGAGGGGCTGGAGAAGGCGTTCCATCACCTATGGCCAATGTTTTCATCCATCCCAATGTAATGAAGTCTCCAAAAAGCCCCCAAAGGACAGGGCTCAGGGTCCTGAGATTCAGAGAGCCTCTGGGTTGGTGGGTGTGGAGGTGCTGGGGTCGGGGAGGGATGGCCCCCGGGGGGGGAGGGGCGGGCTCAGAAGCTCCTCCCCTTCCCGTACACCCTGCCCCGGGCCCCCTCCCTCCTATCCTGCTCTTCCCGAGCTACATCGAGTACGTCACGTTCTGTGAGTTCTGTGAGCAAATTAACCCAACCCGAGGAGGGGGTGGGGAACCTCCAACCTGCAGCCAGCCGGGACAACCTGGCCCGCGGTTGGCTTCTGAAGCGGGGGCAGTCTTTTAGGACGGAGCCCTGCCCGGCTGGGATCTGATGCCATCCAGGTAGATAGCGTCGGAACGAGGTACATCGCAGGACGCGTGGCTGGTGTCTCCCACACGTTTGGTGCCCCGAGCCCAGAAGTGTTCGGAAGGGAATCCCGCCCCGCCCCCCGCCCCTGCCGCCCCCCGCCACCCCACCCCGATGTTTCCTCTTGGAAACTCTCCATCCATCCACACCCACCCTGCTCCTTGTCCTTGCCTGCCCACCTTCCCTCGCTGGGTCCCAGTCTCTGTCCCCTCCTGCAGAGTCCCCTGCAACGGAACCCTCCGTTCACGGCCGTAGTGCCCCCGAGTCAAGCCTGCCTTGCTGCCCTTTGACAGGTGCCATGACTAATTTTTTTTCTTTTACAGGAGAAACCGCCTTGTAGGGGGTAATGTCTCTCCGTGACCGTGACCGTCTCCTTGAGGGAAGAAGTAACCTCTTTGGGGGTGGGACCCACGTGCTTTGCCGTTTCTGTCAACGGTGCCGGGCCGAGCCCGGCACCGGGGACGCGTAAGTGACGAGGGAGGGTTTGGAAGGCGGCGGGCGGGTGGCCCTGACCGGTTGGATCTCATGCCCCGCAGTCTTGACTTTGGGATGACACATCTAAGGCCGGAGGTAAAGGAGGAGACGTCCAGTGGTTTTCTCCGAGCTGAGGGCCAAGAAATGGGTGCGAGGGTGGGGATCTTTGCCTCTCGTTGTGGATAAACCCGGAGAAACTTGTCTTCACTCGGAACCGTTCTCTTCGCCAAGGATCCTTCCTCCCCACTTAGCTCCTGAAAATGGCCCCTGGGTGTGCAAATAGCCCTCGCAGTGCAGAGTGTTCAGGCCTTCCTGACATTGGGGGCCGGGTGGGTCTTCTTCGTGGGGGCCATCGTGCTACGTGGCACAGCCTCCCTGGCCCCCACCCGCTAGGTGCCGGTAACATCTGCCTCTCCCACCTGACCACCAAACGTCTCCAGACACCTGCCAGATGTTCCCTGGGAGCACGATCGCCTCCCCCCCCCCCCACCCCAGCTGAGCACCACGGAGTTACTGTTCGGGATTATTTTCATCTGTGGCAGCAGGAAGGGGGGGCTGGAGTGGGGCCCCGACGGGGGAGGTGACCAGAACCAGATGTGTAGCTTTGATCGCTACCCTGAAACCCACTTTATGGGCACGTGTTTCCTATCTAGAGGGTTTTTTTTCCCAGAGAGAGCTTTTTTTTTCCCCCACTGTTATAAACTGTCAGTGGGGGACGGGGGGCTCCGAGAGACTTACCTGGCTCCCCCTATACCGTTGAAGGGGCCGACCAGAGAGCGATGTCGCGGTTGATGAACATGGATCCAAATCTCCCCAGGGAAGGGGAAGGAGGGCGAGTCTGGCATCCATCCGATCCTGGCCTGGCAGAAGATGGCCATGTGACCTCCAGCTCGCCGTTAGCCTCTCTGAGCCCTGAGGTTCCGAGGCACCCAGGGATGGGAGGTGCCCAGAAGGCAGCACGCGTGTGGCCCGTCGTCGGCTGGCCCCGTAGAGGCTAACTCTCCGTTTTAGCTCCGAACGGCGATGCCGAGCCTGGCCGCCTAATGGCCTCATGATGTTGAACTCTGCAGAGACAAAACCAAACGTCAAGGTCGTTTCCCCCACGCAGGTGTGAGGGCGAATTCACGTCGGGTGGTTATGCTGTGCGGGCAGCAGTGGGAGCCAGGAAGGACGAAGGATCCGGAGACGTCCTCTGTTGACTTCTCGCTTGGTGCCGGACCCGCTCCAGTGTTCCTCCGAAGTTTCACGTTTTCTTGCAAATGTCTGGGGAAGATTAAAGAAGCACGCGCACGAGCGAGCATGAACGCACGCGCGGTGGCTGCGAAGGAAGAGGCTCGTCTGCTCAATTCTGCCTTCGTTACTTACAGTGCGTTGTGCCCCCGGGGCCCCCGCAAACCCCTAAAACACCACTCTCGGGGGTGGGGGTGGGGTGGGGGCGTCTGCAGGTGGCACCATGGCCGTAGGAAGAGCGCACGTTGCTTTGAACAAGCAGTAGAGAGAGAACAGGTTAGACCGCAACTTGACTCGTATGGATTGAGAGACGTGAGCCAGACACATCAGATAATTAGCCCCAGGACTGGTCTGTGTGAGGCCTCTTCTCCTTTGGGTTCTGATAAAGGGCCCAAGGTTCTAGTTTGTTCTGAAAGCTCCTGGATTTGAAGAGCTGAAAAGCCAAACCCTTCCTTCCCTCCCTCCCTCCGCTTCTTCCCTCCCTCCTTCCTCCTCTCCCTCCTTCCCTCCCATCTCCCTCCTTTCCTTCTGTCCGTCCATCCAATGGTATTATCCAGGCAAACCCTTCCTGCCCCCAACTAGTTCAGTGCAACCTACCCAATCTCCCTGCAGGTGAACCTTTAAATCAATCGCATGCCCGGGACCCAATTTACCTTCTGATGCACGAGATGTGCGTCACTATCGGGTAGAGTCCCAAGTTACCTTAGAGGCCAGAAACGGGTAGGCAGGCAGCCAGTCGAGGCTCTCATGACATTTCGGTCTTTCGTGATTTTTCCCTACACTCCTTATCGTCTTCCCGCTTCGCTTTACCCCTGCTCTCTCTGGTCCAGCTGCCCGGCCTCCTCCTGCCCCTCGGACAGGCTAAGCTGCTGTCCCCTCTGGCTGGGATGTGCTGCTCCCACATACCCCTGAGTTCCTCCAAGCCCTCATCGCCCTCGGTCTCCGCTCAGATGTCACCTCCTCCAGGCAGCCGAAACAAAAGTGCCACCCACGCCTGTCCCCTTCTCTGCTGTCTCTCTCTCCCCAGCACTTACTGGCACATTCTGTACTTCCTCCTAACCCGCAGGAGCCTGTCTCCCGCCCTGCACGGTGGTTGTGGCCAGAAGGAAGGCGTGACTGCAGGGTCCCCGGCAGTAGGACTTCCGCTAGCTTTAGAACGGGAAAGGAGCTTACGATCTTTTTGGCGCTCCATCATTGCAAGGACGAGGAAACCAAGGGCGGGGGGCAGAGAAGAGCTTGTCATGCGCATGCAGTGGGGCCAGCTCAGGGCCAGGCAGTGGGAAGGAGTGGGGACACCTGTGTTCCAGAACCTGCTGCTGCCGGACTGAGTCCTTGCTCTGGGAGCCTGGGCCAAGTTCCTCCAGCTCGGCGGGTCCCTGTCTCCGGGTCTGGAGCGCAGGTGCGCCACCGCCGGTGCTTTGTGGGAGGATGGAGAACGGTCCAGCGGGGTGACCCTGCAGCGAATGTCAGCATGTTACTAGGAACCCACAAAATCGTGATATAGGGCCACACGGTTCTCAGAATGCAGGCCAGCCTGTGTGCTCGCGAGCTCACCTGCTTTTTTTTTTTTTAAGTTTATTTATTTTGGTGGGGGGGGGAGGGGGCACAGAGAGAGGGAGAGGGAGAATCCCCAGCAGGCTCTGCACTGTCAGCGCAGAGCCCAACGCGGGGCTCGAACTCACGAACTGTGAGACCGTGGCCCGAGCCGAAATCCAGTCGGACGCTTAACCGACTGAGTCACCCAGGCGCCCCTCACCTGGTTTGTGAAGGGAACTAGCAGGGAGTTGGTTTGGGGGAGTCCGGATCGGAGCAGGACTCTCAGGGATGGCTCAGAGCGGTGGTCCTCTGAGCTGCACCTGGGGGTCGATCATCTGCATTTCCAACAAGTTCCCAGGCGGCCAGATCGCGGCCCAGCTCCTACTTCTCTCCCTCTGCCTTTGCTGACTGAGGCTCCCTCCAACTTGTGGTTCCCGTTTCTGCCTGCTCAGCCCGCGCAGCGCCTTCCTCCACCTCCCCCACCCGACCGGGATTTCCTCTTCTGTCCTCAGGCTCGAGGAGCCTGATGAAGGGCTGGAACTCACGAACCTTGAGACCTGAGCTGAAACCAGGAGTCCAGCTTTTCAGGGTGGCCCTTGCCGGTGGCTCTGGCCACTTGAACCTAAATGGTTTTGGCCTCAGTGAATTGCATTTCTGAATCAGGCTACCCATCTCTCAATGCAGGACACCTCCTCCAGGAAGCCTTTCCAGACCACCCAGTCTTGGTCGGGTATTGCTCCCGAGTCCTGTGCTTACCCCTCTCTTAAAAGATCCATTTCCCGTTAGGGGACTGCGCGCCCATCAGGGAAGGGATCAAACCCTTAATGGGCTCAGCATCCCTAGTCCTCTTGGTGTCCTTTTCGCCGAGGCCAGCAGAGGGCGCCTCAGCTCCACGATTCCGCCCCTGCCCTCAGGAGGCATCTGGACAAAGAAGGGGGCTTCCCTTGCTGTTTGGAAACCAGGTCACCTGTGGTTAAGAGCCCAGGACTTGGCCCATACACTCCTAACTGTGTGATCTTGGGTCTGGCGATTTGCCCCTCAGACCTTCAATTTTTCTCTTCTACAAACTGGCTATAATAACGCCCCTAAGGATTTTGTATTTAACAAAATGATCATGTGAAATCCTTAGCCCCGCCTGGGTCAGGATTCGTGAGTCCGCCACCGACTAGCTCGGTGACCACGAACTCGTGACGTCACCTCTCTGTGCCTCAGTTTTCTCATCTGTGGTATGGGGATAATTTTAACCACCCCTTCCATAGGGCAGTTGTGAAAATTGAGACGATACATGTAAAACACCCAAGAACAGTGTGGGGCATGTGGTTGTGCTATATTATAATTTCCCTTTATTGTTATCATTACCTGGTGGTGATGATCATACTCAAGGTCCGGATTCACATTCCAGCTGATTGTGGCTTCAGAGGAAAGGCAGCTCCTCCCTGCCTTCCTACGCTCTTCCTGCTCCCCCAGACCTAATGCTCCTGGTGGGGTCACGGTCTGTGTCCCAGCTTCTCCTGGGAAGGGTCGGTCGAGGCTTTTGGCCTGAGCTGGGGTGCCAGTGCATCTGGAAACTTGGCTCCCCTGAGTCAGGCTGCAGCTCGCGGCAGGAGCGGGAGCCTGGGGTGCCCCCCCCAACTACCCCACCCTGAAACGAGACTGCCCTGATCCCCGGATGAGCCCTGCTCCTGGGGTTGGGAGGGGGGAGGCAGCGGGCAGCAGGAAGGCTGGGGGCCAGGTCAGCCTTCCAGCCAAACTGGGGGATGGGGGCGGGCTGAACTGTATGCTGCCTCCATCTACCTAAAGGAGACAAAAAAAATAAATAAACAAAAAAATCCTTGTCTTCTCTTTCCCTCTCCGGGCAGGTTGGTAGAGCAACATCTCCATCAAGGACAAAAGTCCACATTTTGGAGCCTGAAGGTCTGGCTTTGAACCCTGACTTTACTTCCTACCGGCTGTGTGATATCGGGCACGCGAACGAACCTCTCTGAACCTCAGTTTCCTCATAGTGATGCAGGGAGGGTCAAAAACGTGAAACACATTGTAGGTGTGTGTTTTGCCGTTGCTTTCGAGATTCTGTGTTGTCTTCAGTTAAACAACACAAGATTAGAGTTGACCCTTGAACAACGTGGGGTTTAGGGGCGCCCCGCACGGTGGACAATCTGCGTACAACTTTTGATGCCCCCAAACTTTAACTCTTTCTAGCCTCCTGTTAACCAGAAGCCTTACCGATAACACAAGCGGTCGATTAACACATATTTTGTGTGTTGTATGTATTATATGCTGTATTCTTACGATAAAGCAAGCCAGAGAAAAGAAAATGTTAAATCAAATGGGAGTGTGGAGGGCCGAGGGCAGACCGCCCCAAGATGGTCCACTTTGGCATGAAGATTCTTTTTTTAAATTTTTTAAATTTTTTATTTTTATTTAATTTAATTTATTTATTTATTTTATTTATTATTTTATTTTTTTTATTAAAAAAAATTTTTATTTATTTATTTATTTTGAGAGACAAAGCGAGCAGGGGAGGGGCAGAGAGGGAGAGAGAGAATCCTAAGCAGGCTCTGTGCTGTAGAGCCCGATGCAGGGCTTGAACTTACAAACCGTTGAGATCATGACCTGAGCCGAAATCAAGAGTCGGACACTTAACGGACTGAGCCACCCAGGCGCCCCTGGCACGAAGGTTATTTTGTTTTTTTATTTTTTTTATTTTTATTTAAAAAAAATGTTTTTTAACGTTTATTTATTTTTGGGGGGGACAGAGAGAGACAGAGCATGAACGGGGGAGGGGCAGAGAGAGAGGGAGACACAGAATCGGAAACAGGGTCCAGGCTCTGAGCCATCAGCCCAGAGCCCGACGCGGGGCTCGAACTCACGGACCGCGAGATCGTGACCTGGCTGAAGTCGGACGCTTAACCGACTGCGCCACCCAGGCGCCCCACGAAGGTTATTTTGAGCCGATGGCAATTGAGACCCTGAGGCCTTGAGAGAAATATTTGCCCCTCCCTAACTACATAGAAGCATGTAAATTGGGGTCTTTCCCAGAAGCAGGGCTATTATCGGAGACACATTTTATCTGAGTGACCCATCTATATGGCAGGAGAGACATCTAATTACCAAACATCTCCTCTCATCGCCCTGTGAGGTGCATTTCTTTCCTCCGAAGTCCCTGCCCCTTGCCCCCTTCTCTTTAGCTCAGAACGATGTGCGTATCTCATCGTGCCCGACTGTCTCTGGAATCTCCGTGTCTGTGTGGATTCCCCGTACGCACTCTCTTAAATTTTATCTTCTCCCATTAATCTGTCTCAAGTCAATTTGATTCTTGGTCCAGCCGGAAGGACTCCGGATACATTTATAGTGCTGTACTGTATCTATCGAGAAAAGAAATCCACATGGACGTCCCAAATCCGTGCAGTTCAAACCCATGTTGTTCAAGGATCCCATGTAGATTCTCGCCACGAGCTGCGGGCCTGACCCCGAGCTTCACGTGCTCCTGTCTCTGAGTCGAGAGGTGGGGCTCCTGCCCTCGGGACGAGGGGGAAGCCGCTCAGAACACTGGCCCTTTACGGTTGTGACTTCGGCAATGCCACGTAGCAACAGTGAGAGGTAGCATCATCATGCCCATTTGTAGGGAAGAAGACTGAGGCCCCAGGAGGTGGAGTGACTTGCACAAGAGCCACATCTGTAAGACCAGGGGGTTCGGCAGCAAGAATAGGAACCAAGTCTCGCCCTTGACCCTGACCGCCATCCTGGCGTACTGCTCAGTGCACAACGCCAGGGGGCGCCATGTGCCTTGCAGAACCCTCCTGCTGCTCCCTGGCCCCCAGCGGAGCCGCAGCTGCGTCTGACTACCGATCTCAGTGAGGACAGTTCTGTGGGGACCGCACTGTGGCTGGCAATGACCAATTATGCTCATCACTGGCCTCTTGGGAAGCAGGCCCCCCTCCAAGCCGTTGGCTTCAGCACCCCCTCCAACTTGCTTTCTGTTTCTGCCATGTCTTGGGTGCGCCCCAGCTGTTTGGGCTGTGAATTTAATTCTCAGGATGACCCTGAGCTTGGCAGAAGGCAGGGCCAGTAGGAATCTAACACATCCGTGGGTGGCCGGGAAAATCGACGGAAATAAGCTGTGCCTCTAGGGTTCTCGGTGAGGCGCCTCCACCTTAGAGGCCTGAGCTGGAAAGGACAGAGGCTCAAGTTGAATACTGAGCAAGTGTGGATGATTCGGGGGCGGGGGGGCGGGCAAAAGAGTAGGAGGCAGTAACAGTGAAGCGACAGGCCTGCATTCAAATCCTGGCCCAACCACCGTATAAGTGACCAAAACACCCACCACGCTCCGTTTCTCCCGGCATCGTGGAGTCAGTTTTTCTACTCCTTGCCTCGACCCAAAGAACATGGTAGACAGAAGGACAAGTGACTTCTAAGTCAGGGGGTCAGGAGGTTCTGCCCACTCGCACGTTCCTTCTCGGACCCTTGTGACCATCACGTGACACGAGCCTGGGGCCCATGAGGGCCGCGTGGAGGACAGGATCCCGAACACGTGCTTCCGAAACCAGCAGACGGCAGCCTTGTGAGCAAGCCAAGTCCAGCTGAGATCAACTCTGCGTAGTCCCGGCCAGAGGAGCCGCACGGCTGACCGTGAGCTACGGTACAGGCTTATCATCTTCAGCCATTAAATTTTTTCTTTTATTATGCGGCCATCATTTGTTGAGACAGCCATTTATAGTTCAATGATCATGGTCAAATTGCTCACCCTCGCTGAGCCTCGATTTCCTTTCTTTTTAATTAAGATTTTTTTTAATGTTTGTTCTTGAGGGAGAGACAGAGTGTGAGCGGGCGAGGGGCAGAGAGAGAGGGAGACACAGAACCCGAAGCGGGCTCCGGGCTCTGAGCCGTCAGCAGGGAGCCTGATGCGGGGCTCGAACCCACGAACCGCGAGATCATGACCTGAGCTGAAGTTGGACGCTCAGCTGACTGAGCCACCTGAGTGGCCCTGAGCCTCGATTTCTTTAGCTGTGATATGGGCTTGCAAGCAGCCGAAGTCGCAGAGGATTGACATGAGGAGTGGAATGGGGGCTGCTGTACTGCCATAGAAGCAACTCCCAAATCCTTTCTTTTCTTCCTTTTCTTTTTTTTTTTTTAAAGATTTTATTAGACTGTCTCTACACCCATCTTGGGGCTCGAACTCACAACCCCAAGATCAAGAGTCACGCGCTCCACCAACTGAGCCACCAGGCGCTCCTCTCCCAAATCTAAATGACGGAAACAACAAAGGACTGCTTCGGGTTGGGGACTCCGCTCATTGCGGTCGGGTAGAGTCCTAGGCTGGTGAAGTTCCCCGTCCTGAGCGGTGGGCTGGTGTGCCAGAGGGACCGGGCAGGGTCTCGCTGTGGCAGTTGAATGCTCCGCTCGGAGGTGACAAACAGGGCCCCTCCATTCCCAGCACCCGCCCGGGGCGTCAGGAGGTGCCAGCCTTCCTACCCGGAGAGAGAGCCGGAAATAATTGCTGAACAGCATTTGTACGCGTTTAGCTGTTGTTCTGTGCTTTTCAAGTCCGGGAAAACCGAAAGGGGAGTGAAAGCCATGCTCATAGACGGGATAATCGCAGCTCTGTTCATTGAGCACCTACTGTGTGTCATTGAGGCCCCAGCCTTTGACGCGGGGCTCGAACTCATAAAGCGTGAGATCACGGCCTGAGCCGAAGTCGGGCGCTCAACCTGCAAAGCCCCTGCAAAGCCATTTGCAACCCTCACCACCATCGCCTGCACTCTCAGTAGAGTGAATGCACCCACATACCCTAGGGCTGTGTGAGCATTTCTTACGGAAACCTCTCCGCAGCCCTCTGTCATCATCCCCTTTTTACACAAGTGGGAACAGGTGCACAGAGAAGCTCCGTGTCCCGTCCAAGGTCACGCGGCTGGTGAAAGAACCGGGACGGGGTGTTCACGGTTAACCTCTGTGCTATAAAGGGCTTTCACATCCTGGGGCTTGTCTGAGCTTCCCCGAAACACACATGTGCGTGCACACACGCACACACACACACACACACACACACACCCCAACACCACCCCCTGAGAGATGGGCAGGTTGGACTTCCTACTCCAACTCTCCAAGTGTGGGATCTGAAGCCTAGCGACACGTTCAGGGTTGTAGGACTGATCGCCTGGTTTCGAGAACAGGGCCCTTTCCACACCTGGGGCTCGGGGAGAACGCGGTGTGGACGGTGGTGTTCCGATCAGCTGTTGCTGTGTAACGAACCGCCGCGAAACTTCATGGCAGCAGACAACCATTTTGTGGGGCTAATAATAGACTCTGGAATCGGATGGGGTACAACGGGGCGGCTCGTCTCTGCTCTGTCATATCCGGGGCCCCAGAGGCTGAGAGAGTAAAAGCTGGGGGTGACTCAACAGCCGTTCCCTTCTTCCCTGTCCGGCAGTGGGTGCCAGACTCGGTCGGGCTGTTGACCAGAGCGTTGGCACACGACCCCTTCTCGTGGCCCTGGTGGCCTCGGGGTCGGCGGTGCCTCACGTCGTGGCTCCACAGGTGAGTGTCCCAGCCGACAAGGTGGAGGTCAGGCGGCCTGTTCTGACCCGGCATCGCTGGTGCCACGGCATCCTGTCGGCTTTGAACCAGCCACCAGCCTGCCCAGATTCAGGCCTGGACCCTGTCCCTCCATGACCAGAGAGCCAGAATTTGTGGACGTGGTTACAAACCATCAAGGTCGGCCCCGAGGGCCATGAGAAGCTGGGACGGAGAACGTGGAGCTCCAATGGGCTTGGGCTGGAGGCTCTGATGAGCCCTGACCCCCAGCGTCCCATCACCACCTCGTGGCCAAACTCGGGGTGTCTGTGGTCCTGCGAGCTTCCTGTCCTCGTTCTGGAGAACACGCCCCTGGTGGCCAGCAGGGGGCGCCCAATGCCCTTGTCCTCCGTGGGTTAGGAGGGGACGAGGGAGGACGACCCCGATAGCCTCTCTGGACACAGTCGCCCAGCAAGGAGCCCTGGAGGGGGCCCCAGCTGTGTCCACACCACGTCGGTCCCGCCCCGCAGTCTCCGCGACACCCTGTTGATGGCTTTCCGGCTCTCCACCAGCTGTGCCAGCCCTTCAGCACCCCCTCGGGGAGCACCGTGGGCAGGGGGTCCGGCGCTGGTTTTGCGGCCGGCTGGATTGTGAGACCGAGCAAATCCCCCGCCTGGACTTGGGGTTTCCCAGACACGAGAGCAAGGGGGCTGGGCCACAGGATCCCCAAGTTTCCAGAACGCCACTGAATTTCTTCTCAGGTGGAAACCCCATCTCCCAAGGCTGGCTGCAAGCTCCTTGAGGGCAGGCTGTGCCTTCCTGACTCCGGGCGAGGCACTTTGCCACGCGCGGCCTCGGTCTCTCATCCGGAAAGTGGGGACGCCGACAGTGTCTGTGTCGGGGCGTCTTTGGGCGTTGCCAAGCACCTGGCACCTTAGTAGGTGGTCAGCCACAGCCGCTTGCTTTGCTGCGGGTGCTCCCTGAGCCTGGGGAGCTTGTCCCCTGGGGTCTCCTGGGGGCTTGGGGAGAGTGTGGGTGGTTGAGGGCAACCCATCACAGCTGCTGGATGCAGTCCCCAGAACAGGCCTCCCGGGACTGTCCTCCTGTGGCTACGACGTGAGGTTTCTGAAAACCCCCCTTGTCGTTACGAGACGCCCCACTCGACTGAGGCCTCTGCCCGAGGCTCCCTGTTTGCTGTGTGGGCGCCATGTTGGATCGTAATTGTGTCCATGTGGGAGGGGCACTGCCATCTGGTCTCGGAAGGAGGAAAATTGGGGTTACACCGCCTTTCCCGTTGTCCTCTCTGCTCCTCACTGCTTGGCCACACAGGAGCTGTGACAACGCCTGCCTTGCCCCCTCACTTCCCTCCCCATGCCCCAGCGGGGACCCCGCCAGGCCAGCCTTACTCACCCTCCTCTCTCCTTCCACCCTACCTCAGCCTCCTCACTGCCACATCACGGTGGGCGCAGCCCCCAGGAACATGGAGGTGGCCTCAATGACCGGCTGAGATTTGTCTAGAGGGTGGTGGGGGATGGGTAGAATGTCCCGGGGCCCCGACCAAGGAACTTTCTTGGCAATAGAAATCACTTCTCCTTCTTGAACATTCCTTCTTCTCAGGCTTGATCTGTGATCCTGGGGCCTGACTGGAAGTCTTTGGAGAAGCAACATTACCTGTTGAAGGCACAGCTTGCCGCGGCCATCGGGACACACAGGGTTCAGAGGGCAGGGGTGAGGGGAGAGTGGGGGCCTCGGGGAGCAGGACTTCTGTTTCGGTGAATCAGCC